GTAAAGATGAAGGACACACTGCTATTTGGAAAAAATCATAAGTGCCAGGCTCTGTGCAATTCTCAATTGTATATTCGTTTATTTGATCAGCATGAAAACAAGAAGTCATACATTTGCCTTTTTTCACTATTTTATTTATGATACAACTCTGGTGTATGTCATTCTCTGCAAGAAAAGAAATATATTTTCTAGTGATATCCTATCTTTTATTAAATCCAAATTTATATCTATATCCGCATGTATCTTTTCTTGTACCTGTAGTAGGAACTCTAAAAGAATTTCTTGGGATATCATTCCAATCCATTTTAGTAGTGCACATTAACATATCATAAAAGCTTAATTGTTCCAATCTTTCAATTTCTTTATCAGTGAAAAGTCTGCAAAGAAAATTGTGTGAAATGTTTACTAAAATCATATCACTCACAAGAAAGGAAAATGACAAGGAATATATAATGAGATAATTTACGATTACATACCCATTTTTGGTATTATTATACCAAAACCTATCACCATCGCGTATTCGCTGAAATTGATCAGTGATAATCTTTTGAAACAACTCTCCGGGCCCATCTTGAGTCTCTAGTATTCCACCTACCCAGATATCCACGTCATCGAACGAGTTGTTATATAATCTAAGAAATTCCTCCCGAATCTTACACGAAATACAAGATGATACAATTGACAAATGTAATTCAAATATGCGAAGAAAAAGCATTTGCACAATATACTTTGCACAATATACCTCTTGATCCACTCGATTAAAGTGGGATACATGTTTAACTTCATTCAGACCATACGCACGACGTGCGCTATTGTAATCAGGTACCCCATGATCGCGTCCTCTCTGTATATTAAGTGCCATTAAATCTCTTCTGGAAAATTCTAATGGACCGAATAAACTGCCTCGTAAATCTTCAATGATCTTGTGATCCTCCTCTTCGCACAATTGAATAGCCATTCCCATCAGTAACTTGTCCACATCGATAACGTCTTTTATTCTTGTTAAATTGGCATAGAGAGAATTCTAAACAACAATCCATTGTACGTTACACTCACTTCGAAATGTCGAACATTGAAATCAATTAAACTTATGATACATAATACATATCGTTTAATCGAGTTTGAATCGTTTCAAATCCACAATAAAAACATTTTATTTGTGAAATGTATACAATTGCCATACCTGTGACATCCAGTAATTATTGCATGTTCTAATTGGATACGGTTCCAAGGAACAATTCTTCCTCCCGTAGTTGCGCAGGTACACACCTAGTATCGTGACTATTATAAGCGATTATCGATGTTATTCTATTACAAATATTGTTATGACACTCTCTTAGGCACTCTCTTATAATACTCAATTTTTTATGCTGTATGATTTTTAATTGTAGCGTATAGTATTGTAAATAAATTAAATAAATTAAATCAAGAATATTTGTACATCATTCTGTAAAGGTTAATAAAAAGAAAAGAAGACGTCAATACGAACGCTAGTACGAAACGTAGGCAAATAGGCCATGATACACAAATTAATTGAATGTTGCAAACTAGCAACATTCAATTTGGTCAATTTTGCTATTGATGTTGATTTGGATATTGGAAAGGATATCTATTTAAAATTGACAAAGTGTGTGTGTGTGTGTGTGTGTGTGTGTGTGTGTGTGTGTGTGTGTGTGTGTGTGTGTGTGTGTGTGTGTGTGTGTGTGTGTATGCGCGCGTGTTTTTTTTACCTGGTGGGACCAAAGTGTGTCCGAAGCGAAAAGCGGCCGATTGAAAAATTGCTCTATCTGCGGATCGATATTAGGATTGTAACCTTCGAACAACGAATCAATCATTATTTGGATTGCATACAAATTATAAGTAATTTAAATGAACTGTCACCTGTTGATTGTTTTACATACGCGAGACATATTAAAGCGGGAGATTGATTTTTCTTACCCTGATATACAGGAAGCTTGTGCCCCAGCCATAAAGGCAACCATTCGTTAACGACAATATTTTGCTGAGTCGCTATCACCCATTTACGGGCCTCGTTATAAATCTTATCGCTCGACCAATCTGGATTGTGACGTTTAATATGAGTTGCTATGAAATTGTGCCATCTAAACCATATTATACCGAAAGTCAATAAAAACGGATTTTCGTTTCCTCGTGGATTTCCTAATTCTGAAACAGCAAAATTGCGATCAAGCATTAGCGAGCGAAAGTAAATTTATTCCTCCGATGATAAAGGATGTATCTCTCTCGAATGTCGAGATGTAAACAAATACTACGAATGACGCGGTTCATCCCCGTCGAAATGTCTCGAAGATCGATCACGAAGATGACAGTACGTGATGTAATGAATATGACCCTTGATGAGGAAATGGCTCGAGACGAGAAGATATTTATAATGGGGGAGGAGGTCGCGGAATTTGACGGCGCTTACAAGATTACACGTGGTCTTTGGAAGAAATATGGCGACAAGAGATTGATCGATACACCAATCACGGAAGCTGGATTCTGTGGTATCGCTATCGGCGCGGCACTCCTGGGTCTAAGACCGATATGCGAATTTATGACCTTCAATTTCGCCATGCAAGCCATCGATCGTATCATCAATGGCGCTGCGAAGAATCTCTACATGTCCGCCGGAAGATTCCCTGTTCCTATTTTATTTCGAGGTCCGAACGGTAACTCCAAAGGTTTGGCCGCGCAGCACTGTCAATGCTTTGCCGCGTGGTTCATGCACGCGCCCGGCTTAAAAGTCGTATCACCATCGACTAGCGAGGATTACAGAGGCTGTTTGAAGACAGCTGTGCGAGATCCCGATCCTGTAATCATGCTGGAGAGCGAGTTACTATACAGCATCGAGTTTCCCCTATCCGACGAAGCCATGGACAAGGATTATCAGATACCTATCGGCAAAGCTAAGGTGGAGAAACCCGGCAAGCACATCACTCTAGTGACGCATGGCCAAGCGTACGTGTTTACGCTTCAAGCGGCCGAATTGTTGGCTGGACAAGGTATCGAGGCGGAAGTTATCAATCTACGATCGCTCAGACCCTTGGACTGGGATACGGTGTTCAAGTCGATCGGCCGGACACACAGACTAATGACTGTCGAACTGGGCTGGCCTAGATGCGGAGTAGGATCCGAGATTGTCGCAACAGTGATGGAAAATCCAGTATTTTATCAGCTCGATGCACCTGCAATTCGGTGCACTGGCGTCGATGTTCCGATGCCCTATTCGGAAAAGATCGAATACGAATGTACCCCAAAGGAGCATCATATAGCCGATTACGCTAAACGTATATGCGGCACAAAATTTTAATATAGCTTATATAGTTTGTTGTTGTGTTGAATAAACTTTCACTTACTAAAATATCTGGTGACACTTTCGGTGTAATGTCGCGAAACATATTGATGATGATGAATAGGTGGTGGTGGATTGGCCATCGGTAATCTAACGGTGTTGTAATCGGGATATAAATCAAAGTACGACGATGCAAGTTTTCCATTTGCTTGCAATATTCCACTAGCGTTTGTTCTTAACACATCTGACCATGCTTTGGATGTACCGTAAATCAATCCTCCGTCTAAGAATGGCGTAATCTCGTTTAACTGGAATGTATCGTATCAACGTATTTAGATTCGGCAGAAGCAATGTTGCTACGTTTCAAGAACGAATCAAACCTGTTGACGAGGATTATTCGGCGAATGACCCGTTCGATGATCGTATCGTGTACGTAAAACAGGCATTTTTGTATGTCCCGGTTTAGTTCTGTATCGATGATTTTCTGGAATTTTTTATGTTGATGTACTCTGGTGGACACGCTGGTCTTTGGGCATCTAAAATTTCTTCCACTACTTGTTGACCTGTTGATGAGATATTCTTTCAATTTATATTACCATTATATTGCTGTGGGACTCCCCCTCCTCTCTCTCTCTC